GTCGGAGCACGTCCCACAGTAGGTCTCGGTCCACCGAATCGTATGCCTTGGTGAGGTCGACGAAGCACGCGAACACGGCAGTAATCTTCTTCCTCACGAGCTCATGGAGCCGCTGGATGGCGAACAGCATGTATGTCGAGCGTCGACCGGTGTGGGCGGAAACCGCTCTGCTCCTCCGGGAGGATGCCCTCTCGCTCGCAGTAGTGGCTCAGTCGTGTAGCGACGACCTTAAGCAGCACCTTGCCGGCGTGTGCGACGAGAGGGATGCCCCAGTAGTCGCCGCACTCCATCGTGTCCCCCTTCTTGAACAGCACTTTGATGGTGGCATCCTTCTACTACTGCTGTGGTACGTCCCCAGTCTGCCACACGTCCACGACAATGGCGTGGAATTCGCGGAGGAGACCTTGATCTCCGTCCAGGAAAAGCTTGATCAGCTCACCCGGTAGGTCGTCCGGCCCGACGGCCTCTCTGTTGGCCATTTCCTGTACCGCTTCCTCAACCTCAAGTAGAGATGGGATGTCGAGTTCTCCGCTGGACAGGGCGGCGCAGCTCAATCAACACTTCGGAGCAGACGACACGTTTACTCGAAGAGCCAAGCACATGGGAGAGAGTGCCGACCGTTTACCCTAACCAAACGGATATTGGGGTCTACTGCCGTACTGTACTCCGAAGGGTGCTTTTGCTGCTGAGGCAACACTGGTTGACAAGATCGACACCAGCTGGGCTGTTCCAACGGTCACTTCGAATCACGGGCCGATCTTTTTTCCCGCCAATAATCGTTAACCTTCAATGCGATCATGAGAGCAAGGGCAATTGAATCGTGGGATCACACTAGGCGGGCCCTGCCCGTAACAATTCATGTGCGCGTATTCACGACGTCGATGTGTAGGGCAAGATCCTTGGTGTATAGTGCCCTACAAGTGCAATAAAGCAATACATGCATGTGTGCGTGTAGTGGGCCTGGGGCGAAAGGAAATCAGCCGCGAAACCGCCAGCACGGGGGCTCCGTGGGGGGAAATCCAGGTACCCCGAACAACCCCCCTAAAGCGGAGGTGCGGGCCGATCTGCGGAATTCTGGGTCGACAACCCAGGAACAGCAGCTCGATAGAGGACTGCTGGACGGCTTTGTGAGCAAACGAGGCTCTAGGAAATCAAGGTATGAGTCCCTTTTTGACAATGCGAGATCGGCGAGGTGTCAACTGCTGTCTTCATCTTGCAAAATTCAACGAACAATGCGTTTCTTGACGGGGAGACCAGGCAGGCGAAGGACGGGGAGGACTGCGCAGCGCGTGCCGTACAGCTAGCTGCACAGCAACAGCTATTGCATTGCAAGTGGTCTAGACAGGGTCGATAGACGCACCGTGGATCTCTGCTGCAAAGTGCTTAAGAACGCCTCGCCCACACATCTTTGTCTGGCCCTTGTCCTTCTCAAGTACTCCCTGTTGCGGAGGACCTGCGAATCACGGAGGGAGTCTAGTCCGGACTGCTGTTAACTCGCGATGGGTCAAGGGGCAAGCGGGCTACCGGGAGCACCCGGAGGGCCGCCTGGAGGGCCGGGGGGCGACAAGAAGGATGAGAAGAAGAAGAAGAAGTTCGAGCCCCGGCCTCCGATGAGGACTGGCAAGAAGAAGAGGAAGAAAGGGCCGTCGGTCGCGGTTCGGACTCCCCAAGGTGTGTGAATGAAATGGGCACCAAGTAGGCTAGTGCTGTGCGTTAGGGGATTCTGGTGCTGTGCAGAAGGCGGTCTCGCGTGAAAGCAGCGCTTGTTGATCGCAGCCAAGGGCTGTGCGCGTGTGCTAGTTTGCACTCTTGTGTAGCAACCGCAGTGAGAGGGGCAGTACCAGCAAGCTTGTTGATGGAGAATGCACGAGGCAATTCTCGAGAGAGCTGCGTCCTCACGAGCAGACGGCGACAGAGCATCACTAACAGCGCATCGTCGATGTCAACGTCCATCAGACCGTAGAATGCTTACCACAGGAGTAGCCGTTTTCTTCTCAACCTGCGACCTAAGCACACGCCAGCCCCGCTTAAGCCCACGTGCACTGGTGTTGTTCAACTAAGCTGTACATTTAGACCCGAGCTTCAGTCGCACTATTTAGCAACGGAAGGACGAGCTCCGTACAGGGGGTGTGGTGTCTTAAGTCACCTACGGTAGTCTGGTCGAGAAGGTTGTCTGTTCTTGACGCTTGGCGATATCGTACCATCTGTTGGACCCCGCACCCACCCTGCTCGATCCGGCCGGGTGAGCCTCCGAAGTATTGACGTTACACGACTCTCCTTGGATAAAGCACCAGGAGCCGCGCCAATTCTGTTAAGACACAACATGTCATCCTACAGCAGCATCACTTCGGTATCATCATCTTTGGTGCAGACCTGGTACTACAGTAGTGCCGTATGAAGGCCAAGCCTTCGTGACAACAGTTTTCAAAAAAACTATGTAGAAGTAAATAATACGTGCCCCAAGGAGTAATAAATGAAAACGTTCAACATATTGTCTGGAGCCAAAGGATTCTGTTGAAAACAACGAGACCCGCGTATCTACCTATTACGTACAATAGGTGTAGGGGGGTAATGATCCGCGTGGTGCGACTCAACATCTTGCAGTAGTTTTATCTGCGATGCTGATGGTGCACGAATCCCGACACACACCAGCGTGAATCGTTTGAGGTGCAGCTACGCGTGCACCACAGAGGGACAGCAGGCGTGTGACGGGAGCGACGATGATTGTATGTGCGGCCAAGGTTCAAAATTTTGCACTTTGCATGCGGTTGTTTCTTTCCGTTTTGATGCANAGGTGCAGCTACGCGTGCACCACAGAGGGACAGCAGGCGTGTGACGGGAGCGACGATGATTGTATGTGCGGCCAAGGTTCAAAATTTTGCACTTTGCATGCGGTTGTTTCTTTCCGTTTTGATGCACATGCACGAAGAAACAAAATGTGAAGGCTTCGTGCTGTGCGGACGCAAACAGACACACACGTACGTACTGTACATCTGGGCATCTGGAAGAAGCACACATGCGGCATCCCCCTGGCGGCGAGCGTATCACAAATCACACCGTCGAGGAACACGACCAGCAGCGTAAACGTAGGATTGTGACGCGACAGATGGCAAATATTGCGTCAGGCTCACAACTTGCCCGCCACATTCGTCTCAAGCCTTCCAAGTTTCCCGCCCCAAGTGAAAGCAAGCAGTCCAGCATGAAGCAAAAACAACAAAAAGTCGTTGATGGTCATGTGACGTCATTACTTTGATGCTAGAGGCCGAGAGGCCCTGCTGCAGCCCTGCAGCAGGCACAACAGCATGCAGGGCATGGCTTTCTTTGCGAAGACAGCCAGTAGCGCGGCGCAAGTACGCAATCTGAACCGATCCCGCGGGGAACCATCCTGATAACGCACAGCAGTAGCAGTAGTAGACCCTCACGCCCTGGACGGATCCTCTCGATGACGGTAGGTGTGATCTGGACTCGTGGGAACGTGTGTTATTTCTTGTATGATCATCGGTCTGCTCTTTTTGAAGCAGTTGGTTGGACCTACTCAACATCGACACACACTAGGTAATAATGAGCCGCCAGGTTACACATGGCGCATGCCTACAGTATTCCCACGGTACACAGGTCGTATAGGCCCGGCCCTTCCTCGTTTTCATAGCTAGTCTCAGACCAGCGTCTTAGCGGTGATGCGTTTGTTGGTGGTGTTCTTGCGTGTATCTATGTAGGATGTAGGATGTAGGTGTTTCTTGTCCTGGATTGAATCGTGCGCGGGCGCGATCTCCGCTTTTGTGCACGCCTTTTCGCGTAGAAACCCCGGGGTTGGGGAGCAAAATCTCCTGCGAATATAGGCTACATATGCCGGTGAAGCACGGCCATCTGCTCTCGGTGCACGACGAAACCGGTGATGATTAGCGCGCTAGTTTTCTTCTTCCTCAGAAGCGCACAGATCGTCAATCGGTGCCTTATAGATCTCGTTCCAGTCTCAAAGGTGTGCTAAAAAGGCTTCCCCGTAATCAAGTTTTGGGGTCCCTGTATCGCGCGGCGCAACTTTGGCCGATAAATAGAACCTTTTTGTCCCTCTTGGGAACGAAGGGAAAAAATGTCGCTCGCTTCGCTCGCTCCGCGGCTCATTGTAATTGCTTACTGCTGTATCATTTCCTTTTGCGCTGTCCGCACCACTATGTACTCTTCGGTCGGTCGTAAAAACAAGTCTTCCCGACGGCCAAGTGTCGACTACGCCTCCTCAAGCTGGAGCGGATCAAGGACTTTTTGATGCTGGAGAAGGAGTACATTCGAAACCAGGAGGTTTTCAAGGTGAGGATTTCGGCGTTCGTCCAGTGGACGATGATTTGTGTGCGAGAATTGTTCACGGCAGTATCGTGGGCGCAGTTTGTCCCAGACAAGCACCGGAGAGCAATTAAGTTATGCGACACGCGCCAGCATACCATAGGGTGCATATATTTAGTCAGCCACATCCATGTGGTGCATACATACAGGCGTCCGTTTTCGTCAGCCAAATTGATGTGACACAGGCTAGCAGAGCTGGATCGATGCACAGGCATCTTCTCTGACGGCGTTGTCACCCGCCACTCACCCACATTTTCTAATAGCATCGCATTTCGTGTGGTTGGAGGCCGTCAATAACTGAACTAGCCTCGCGGCGAGAGCAGTTCGAACAAGGAAGCGAGCGTCACGAGGCTATGTCCTCCCCTCCCCCCAGCACCTCCCTCCCCCCCCAAACAGCCTGCCCAAACTTGTCACTTCATCTACATGCTAAGATGTCTTTCTTGTCCATGTGTGGTTTCATTTTTGTTTTTTAGCCACGTGAAGAGAAAGATCAGGAGGAGCGGCAAAAGGTGGACGACCTTCGCGGATCCCCCCTGTCCGTAGGGACCCTGGAGGAGATGATCGATGACAACCACGCCATCGTGTCGTCATCCGTGGGGCCGGAGTACTACGTGAACGTGATGAGCTTCGTCAATCAGGACCTGCTTGAGCCTGGGAGCTCGGTGCTCCTCCACAACAAGGTGTGTAGTTGTACAAGAATCGGTTACGCATTTTTTTCGTGGCTAGCTTGTGGGACCACTTGGGCAGAAAAAAACACATCTGTGGACAAAAGAAACAAACAATAGACCATGCCTAGTCTCCTTTTTTCCATTGTTTCCATGTACAGCAGTCGGGATGCCTGTCGCCGCGTGCGTCATGACAAAGGCGCACCGGTGGCCTTGGAAGGCCGGTGCCACCCTTCAAGAACAATTGTGTTTTTGTATATTAGTGCTGATAGGGTGTACATAGTCCTGTTGGAAGACAGGGTGGATGTGCGTTTGTGGTTCTAATCTCTCCTACAGCATGGTTGAACTTTGGGATGAATTTGTCCTACGTACAGCAGCAGCGGCATCGGGAGAGAAGGCACTATGGCAAAATGCTGCACTGGTTCACAACAACGTATTACCAAACAAAACGTGTTCAGCCCGGACATTTGCGGCGGAGGAGTTCCGAACGGTGGATGGATCGAACTCGAAAGCCTGTCTTGAATATCTCTTGCTGTATCACAGCAATGTCATCCTGTGACGGCGGTTGACCCGACACACAACGCTTTAGTACTCCCCCTCCGCCCCCCCGAACTCGATGGCCTCTCCTTTCTCTTGGCAAGCGATGGGCGAGCCCCCCCTCCCGGTGATCGGTCCTGTGGGATCAGTACTTCGTCCTCTCGAGAGGACGCGTGGTCAATGGCCTAACAGCTAAGACATTCAAGACATGAGTACACCCCCCCTCCCCCTATCCCCCTGTTCGGTCCCCTTTCCTGGTGGAACGTGGTGTATGCATAGGTGATGTCAGTGGTGGGAATTCTCGGAGACGACGCGGACCCCATGGTTTCGGTGATGAAGGTCGACAAGGCACCGCTAGAGACGTACGCCGACATCGGGGGGTTGGAGTCTCAGATCCAGGAGATCAAGGAGGCTGTGGAGCTGCCTCTGACGCACCCGGAGCTGTACGAGGATATCGGCATCAAGCCGCCCAAGGGTAAGGGGGAAGGGGCATAGATGGGATACGAATGCATGCCTTGTGCCGCATCCCGCTCTTTTAGGGTACGGAAGCAAGGGTATCGGTATCAAGCCGCACAATAGTGAGGGAAAAGGGGCATAGATGGGGTTTACAAGCGTGTGAAGGTACCGCTGTGTGCCGTGTCACACGTCTACGTTACGCTCGTTTAGGGTACAACAGCGAGGATATGGGCATCAAGCCGCCCAAGGGTAAATGATGAGGGGACGTTTGGTAGGTACCCACGGTGTTGTTTGCCACGTCAAATACATCAGGATTGGTGTCAACATGCCTCCGGGGAAAATGAACACCAGGAAGCGCGCAAAGGATCGGTTGGCAGATGGGTTGCCATGTGGTTGTGTGCCGTTTGTAGCATAGTACCAAAGTACATCAGGCACCGCCCCGGAGGGCGGTGAGAAAGACGAGGGTGTCAACATGTAGGAGAAGAACGTTGCGAGGGAAAAAGGCCAGTGGCATGGTGAGGCGGGGTCCATCACGTTCGTGGCGCATGGATGATGATGCACCCAAGCCTGAAACTTTCGAACGATCTCGTTGGCGTGTTTCGCCTGTTTCGATACAAACTCTCGCATTTCTTGCTCTTGCCCTCGCAGGCGTTATCCTGTACGGGGAGCCGGGGACAGGGAAGACGCTTCTCGCGAAGGCTGTGGCCAATCAGACGAGCGCGACTTTCCTTCGCGTCGTGGGCTCCGAGCTCATCCAAAAGTGAGGGCTTCTTTCTAGGCGTAGAAGTATCGTACCATACGACGCCATGTATGAAACGCAGGTCTACCTGGACCCAGGCGGTGTTGTTTTATTTCGAGGAATTGCACTGCTGTTGTAGATAGCAAGCAGGTGTTCGTTGATGTTGCCTCCGCGCAATATTTGTGGTCCATATCCCTTAACCCTGAATCTAATCTAACCTTACCCAGTGACTCTTCCTTTTAGTCAAGGCAGAGGTGTAACTACGTCTTCGTGGTCAAAAGCTAACTGCAAGTAACTGGCACGAGGTAGATGAGAAGACCGAGCGAAGGGTTCACCTGTCGCCAAAAATTGCAGCAGTACGTGACATGGTAACATGTTGTGTAACATGTTGTTGGAGTACCAAGGTTGTGGTTCCAGTTTTTGCGCCCCCCTCCAATTCTGCCCAAGACTTGGCATCCCGTGAAGTGTCACTGCCGCTGCTGCTTGGCATGGGATCTTAGCTTGAACCCGGGGAGAAACAACAGAGAACCGCAGTTTTCGCGTTTGTTGCCACTCCCCCTCTTCCATGATCTAACCGCTGCGGCATGCAAGACGTGAGTACGCCCCGTCCCTTTTCACTTTGTTCGCCATAAAACGTACACAACAGGTACCTCGGAGACGGTCCGAAGCTAGTCCGTGAGCTGTTCCGTGTGGCGGATGAAATGTCACCGACGTTGGTGTTCATCGACGAGATCGATGCGGTAGGATCGAAGCGGTACGACTCCAACTCCGGCGGGACCCGCGAAATCCAGCGCACAATGCTCGAGCTCCTCAACCAGCTGGATGGTTTCGATGAAAGGGGAGACGTGAAGGTATGCTGCTGTGTGTTTGTGTGTTGTGTTTTTTTTCGCGTTTTCGCCCGTGTGTATTGTAGACGAACGCGTTTGGATTTCATTACTCGCTCGCTCGCATGGTATTCGGGAGAGGGAGAGAGAGAGCGAGAGAGGGAGAGAGAGAGAGAGAGAGAGAGCCCTCTGTGTTGGCAGTTGCGCATCTACTCTGTGGTACTGTATGTGTCAGGTTTGTATACCAAGCAGCTTTAGCTCGAGGTTTCTTCCTTATCGCGTCTCCGTGCTCTCTATCCCGTCATTCCGTTCTTTCTGTGCTCTTGATCGGTTCTGTTTGTCGACTTACTTCGGCGACGAAGATGAGGAAGGGAAAAACATATAGCTACATTGCATTAGCGTTGCAGTTGATCGTGCGAAGTCAAGTCCATTACTAGTGTACATCGTCGACGGCTGATCCTTTGAAGGCTTTTTATCAGAAAGCTTTTCCTTAGAAGGCCTTTCCTCATCAGGTTTTACTCGAAAGACGCTCCCGTCGTCCTCAAGAATGAATGCTTTCTTTGTTCTTGTGTGATTTATTGATTATTTCGCAGGTGATCATGGCAACAAACAAGATCGAGTCTCTCGACCCAGCCCTCATCCGACCCGGGCGAATCGACCGCAAGATCGAGTTCCCGCTGCCCGATATCAAAACCAAGCGGCGCATCTTCGGCATTCACACGGTAAGAGAGATACTTTACATCGAGGAGGATAAAAGAGAGGTGGACAAAATCATGCTGTTCTTGTTCGTTTGTGCCCACTCCGATGCTATCTCCCCGACCGTGGCCATCTCTCCGCCTAGTACGGTACCTACACTGGCATCGGTAGGTAGGTAGCTTTGTGTCACGCCTCGCCACCGTTGTACCATCTGTTGATTGTTGATTGTTGGACCGCCTATGCAGGATTTGAAGAGTGTCTAGAAAAAGAATAGGGAGGGGTCACGCAGACCCTATCCCTAACCCCAACCCCAAAGCGCGGATTGAATACTTTATCCCGTATGTTTGCTTGTCATTATTTGGCAGCTTCAAGGCAAATATTTCGGGGGGGGGTTGTTCTTCAAGACCATTTTTTTCTTCTTGACAACACGATAGGGGAAATACTTGCATTTTCTTCAAGACTACTCTGTCGATCTATTTTTTTATTTTGCGACACGATAGGGGCGCATGACTCTGGCGGACGATGTAGACCTGGAGATTTTCATCATGGCCAAGGACGAGCTCTCGGGGGCGGACATCAAGGCTATCTGCACCGAGTCGGGGCTGCTGGCACTCAGAGAACGGCGAATGAAGGTATGTGTGTGATGGGTGTGGTTCATCAACAGTAACTAAGACCACGCTACCGAATACGACACAAGATAACACACACCCCTAGACCGATTTCCAAAGCTCGATTGCGCCACGGCGAAGAGGATGCATAAACAAAACGATACGTTTTCAGAAATTTCTCGACGAGACGGCCTTCAACCCCGCCGTTTTCGGCGCTGTTGAGAAATCGAGCTTTGAAAATCGTCCAGGGGGTGTGTTATCTTGTGTCGTATACGGCAATTGACTGAACAATGAAAATATCCTACGATTGTCGCATATGCGGGATGCCAACCGCGAACACGCTTGTGCGTGTCGTTTTTGTTGGCATCGATCGCGCTAACGGGCTGACCAACGAAATGTCGTTGTTATTGTGGAATACCGTCGAGCGGGATCCTCAACGGCGAATTGTTGCATCTGTTACCTAGTATCGATGGCGCTAATCGGCCAACCGTGTGTGTACGTGTACGTGTGCGATGTGCGATGTGCGGTATTTTGTTGTTTGCTTGGAACATAGCATGCATGCCTCTCCCCACGCAGTTGATGACCGCGTGAGACTGATGTTCTTCTTTGACCCTGCGCTTTCGTTGCACATCCACAGTTCCTCCATGGATATATTCCGGTGTGTCCTTGAGGGATCTACGTGTGCTTACACAGGTTGCCTCCCAACCAAACACACACGTGCTCATGTTTTATTCAACTCTCTCTTGCAGGTGACCATGGACGACTTCACGAAGGCCAAGGAGAAGGCGTTATACCGCAAGAAGGGGAATGTTCCCGAGGGTCTGTACCTTTAAATGGCGGAGGAGCCAGAACTGGTGTACCCTAAACGGGGATACAACGCGACGTTCTGTGCCTGTACACGACGAGGAGCAGATAGAACTGTACTCTCAAATCTCAAACGGAACACAGCGTTGTACCTTCGAAGAGGGCGGAGGAGAGAGAACAGTATCCTCACGAGGAACATAGCGTTGAAGTACCTTTGAAGGGTACGGAGGAGAGAGAACAGTACCCTCAAGTGAAACACGACGTTGTACCTTAACAGTGCAGGAAGAGGAGAGAGAAGGGTGAATGTATACCCTAAAGTGAAGAACGAGGAAGCCTATTTACACCTTGGAGATAAAATAAGCTTATATCGTTCTAACGCCGCCTTGTCGCGTGCACCCACGGTAGAAGGCCTTGTGCAGTGAGGGCGGAGAGGCCGGCAATCTGCATCTACCTACAGACGACCCGGGAGCAGCTTGACCCTGTGGACGGGGTTGTTTAGATTCATGTCTGGCACATACTAGTCGGACCCATGTATCGACGAGGGCGAAAATGACCTGTGCTTCTCTTTGCGGGGGGGGCTGAACGGACCGTGGTTCTTGGAGTTTTGAAGAGCATTGTTTCCGCGGACAACTGCAAAAAAACACGCACACACATTCAGGCATGTCTTACCGAGGTGCGAAAGGCAAGGCTCTTGCTCTTGATGTTTGAACAGACAGCTAACCGAAATCGGGGGGAACTGTTGTATCATCCCGTACCAGAAGGGAGTGCTTCGTGTTGCATTTTCTGACATTTTTCTTTGCTGGGATGACAGCATGGTTTGCATCCTATCGCTCTGACACAGGCGGTTCAGCCCCAACTTCTAAAGCGTTCAAGCCTTGAGCACAAGCTGCGAAGCCTGGTGAAGGCTACTACACTACCAAACTTAACCAGTAGTGGCTGCTGGAACAGGTTACGAGCGAGCCTCGAGCGTTTTCTGCGTAGTGAAGCGACCCGCGGATCATCTTTTGTCGGAGGTGTCGGAGATCATACTCCGTCTCTGCCGCAAGAACACTATAGAAAACCCCATCTCTGAAAGGCAGCCATTTCCCCCTGTGTCCATGTGTCCATGCAAGAGGGGGTTCGAAATCCATTAGACGAGGTCCACCCTCCGAACCATCCTGTTGATAGCGGTGGTGGTGACGGTGGTGTTGTTGTCTTTACCTTCCCAAAAGCCGTTCGAGCCCCCGCTCATAAATCCGCATGTCCAACCAACCCGTAGGCGTGAACTAAGCCCTACTCCCTCTCCGCAGTCATGACCACAACCAATAGGGGATACGATAACGAGAGGGGCGGTACTGATGCGATATGCAACAACCCTTGCGACCACTCACGCGCCGAAGTCATAAGTGGTGGGACTTCCCTTCCAAACGTTTGAAACAGCGATTTGTATACCCTGAATTCACAAGGATAAACCATTGGACGGCTTTTTTCCGGCAACACCCACCGTAACAACTCTTGACAACACCGGAAACAATGCCACACTATAGGGGCGGACTCACTTAACAGAGCACCTATAAATATTGCCAAACTTGAAAACACAAGGCATGCATGATAAGGAAGGAGATTAGCCCTAACCGCCCTTTCGATCGATCGAGAGAGAGAGAGAGAAAGAGAGAGAGAGGCAACAGAGGAGCAATGGCAGCTTCAACGCTGCCGCACCCATGCCCTCAACCAAAACCAGAGCTGCAGGCATGCACCCCTGTTATCTCAGCTGGGGTAGAAACCACATCACGGGTACGTGAACAAACACACCCTCTTCCCTGCCTTAGCCAAGGACTGCCGAAGCGCCCATCTCAGCCAAGACCGACAGCAGCTCGGGCCCTCGAGGAGGGTAGACCATGGTGCCGACGACGCTGCCAATGGTGCCCGCCATCCAGATGCAAAAGGCGAACTGCGTGCGCGGGGGAGCGAATGACGGAACCATGCGATACGACGTGCAACAAACCGGGGGGGGGGGGGGGGGGGGGGGGAAGGTCAACATGTTTTAGCATGAAACGCAATCATGCTACCACCATAACCGTCTCTGATGGGTGGGTGTCCTTCTTGTGCGCAACTTTACTCGAAAAGAGCAGAGACCAGTGCCGCAACATCTGGGTCTAGAAGAAAACAGCGTGTGTGCCACACCAATAGAGCTCTATCCAAGATATCTCTCCCAGCCATGAAAGACCAGCTGGCACATCGCCCCATAACAGCGAAACTGCAATGTTCTGGCCACGCGCAAAAACGGTTGAACAAACTCAAACACAAATATTGGTGTGCTCGAATTTGAAAATGCACGTACCGCGGCGTTGCCCACAGACTTTTTACGCAGTTCCCGCAGCACCGCCGGCCAATCCGTGCATGCGTAGGGGTTGTCTCTCCTCCGCCGCCTGCGTCCCGATCACCGCGAAACAGGAGGGATGCAAGGCAGGGGGGTACGCAATATCATGAGTGGGGCCGGTGGCACGGGGACTCACAACACAATTAAGGAGCCAGCTCATAGACCAAAAAGGGTACAGGCGGTGGGCACCACAGAGAGAGCACCTGGGTATGTACCCAGTGGATACGTTTCGAGAGGCGTTGTCCCGCCCAGGGTCGGGTTCGTTCATCATTTTGTCGGGTCGCACTGCCTCCACCACTGACCATCGAAGCCGCGGGACAGAAATACGCCCAGACGACCCAGTTCCGGTACCTCGGTGGCCTCGTGAACGAACATAGCGACCTCACCCGGGAGATCAACTACAAGAGCAGAGGAGCGTGGGCGTGCCTCAGGCGATATGGCCGGGAGCTCTTCGACAGACCGCAAGCGCCATTCCGACTCAAGATCCGCCTGCTCCAGGCGGAGGCGATGGAGGCACTGCTGTACGGTTGCATGACATGGTCACCCCTCAGCGGTCACTATCAGACGCTGCGGTCGATACACCACCGACTGCTCCTTCGAGTTATCGGGAACAAGCGCAAGAAAGACACCTACCGGCAGCTCTCTTACGCCCAGACGCTGAAGAGGATCGAATGTCAGAGCGTTGAAGCCACGATCCGACAACGACGCCTACTGTTCGCGGGAGCATTGGCAAGGCAGCCGGACGGGCGACTCCCGAAACGACTGATGTTCGGCGAACTGGCAGGGGGGGAGAAGCGACGTAGGGGGGGACAGGAACAGAACTGGCCGAAGTGTGTGCTCGACGACCTGAAGGCATTCGGGGCCGACCACGGATCTACGAAAACCGATCCATGTTGTCTCGGAATCCCGGTACCGAAAGACACGGCACCGAAGTTTAAGTGGAAGGAAGCCGCCAAGGTAGAGTGGGGAGTACCCTGGCATGCGGCGGTGCTGCAGGGAGCTGAGAGGTTCATGACCTCCTGGCACGAGAAGGAAGAAGAGGCCAGCCGACAACGGGCGCTCAAACGAAACCACAAGCCACCAACCAATGGGGCGGGAGGGGGGCAGGAGACGGACGAGACGGCGAGGGAAGAAAGCAAACGAGAAGAGACGGACCGAGTGGCGCGATACGTGCCGGATTGAATTTCATTTAGCCAATTCCCCCCCCCCAAAAGCTGCACCATTGCACCAACCTCCCACTAGTGATGACGTACCATTACAATGTATCGCTGGTTGGTGGCCATGTTTGCGTGTTTGCTTGTCGTTAGTGGTCTCTCCACCGTGTGCCTTTTTCTGTCTCTTGATTCTTGTTATTTTCGGCCTGGTCC